ACACGGGATGGGGATAAGGGGGGGTGGGAGGGGGGTTCCTCCGCTCGGGTTTGGGATTTGGAGGTTGGATGAAGAGCCGGGGCATGGGGATGCGACGACGCGGCCGAGAGCTGCTCTGCGCCCCGCTCCCAGCACCCAGCCAGGGCGAGGGCCGGGTCCCGGCGGTCCCCAGGGCACCCCGTAACGGCCCAGGTCCCCAGGGCACCCTGTACCTCCGGGTCACCCACGTCCCCACGCCACCCGCGTCCCCACAGCACCCTGCCTGCGAGGAAAGCCCTCGGAGCAGAGGGTGGAGGAGCTTCACCTCGGGGGCTTGGGGACACCAAGTCCCTCCCCTTCCTCACCCCATCACTAACGAAGTTTGATAATAATTGGCAGCAATCAATTGCTCTGCTGGACCCAGCTGTCCCCTGTCCCTTGCAATGGGACCATGCCCCTGCCCAGTGCCCCGGTGACATTGTCCCAGTGCAATGTCCTAGTGTCCCAGTGCAGTGTCCCAGTGTCCCAGTGCAGTGTCCCAGTGCATCGTCCCAGTGCAACGTCCCAGTGCTCCAGTGCATTATCCCAGTGCAATATCCGAGTTCCCCTGTGCATTGTCCCCATGCAGTGTCCCAGTACCCTGGTGCATTGTCCCAGTGCATTGTCCCAGTGCACCAGGGCATTGTCCCAGTGTGCCAGTGCCTGGCCCCAGTGCATTCCCCTGAGGTCCTCAGTACATGGCCCCAGCGCGCTGTCCCATGCCTGCTGCATCGTCCCAGGGCATTGCCCTGGTGCCACAGCGCACGGCCCCAGTGTCCCCGTGCACAGCCCCAGTGCTGTCCCAGTGCTCCTGGTGCACTGTCCCATTGCACTGGAACACTGTCCCGATGCATTGCCCTGTCACGCTGTCCCAGTACACCGTCCCAGTGCTCCCAGTGCATTGCTCCCTTGCACTGCCCCGGTGCCTTGGAGCACTGTCCCAGTGCTGTCCCAGTGCTCCCAGTGCACTGGAGCATTGTCCGGGTGCATTGCCCTGTCATGCCATCCCTGCACACCGTCCCAGTGCTCCCAGCGCACTGTCCCAGTGCACTGACCCATTGCACTGTCCCGGTGTACTGTCCCGGTGCGTTGGAGCGCTGTCCCGGTGCTCCCGGCACTCTGTCCCGGTGCACAGTCCCGTTGCACCGTCCCCGTGCACAGCCTTACCGTCGCCGCGCATCGACCCCGCGCTCTGGTGCCGTGTCCCGTTGCAATGTCCCGGTGCCCGGGCTCACGGTCCCGGTGCCCGGTCCCCGTGCCCCGCCCGCCC